TTCTTTTCTGATCCTGTCTATTTGGTGTTCTATGTGCTTCTTGTATTTGTATGGTGATGTCTTTCCTTAATTTTCTTCCACAGTCCTGTTTAAGATCTGGTCAATACCATTAACCTGAAATTCTTCTTTTCCTCCTATGCCTATGACACACAGATTTGCTCTTTTCATGGTGACCCACATATCCTGCATATTCCATCCCTTTAAAAAGTTTTTTCAAAATCTTTGCTTGAGCAGTCCAGTTCTTCACCTTTATCCTCCAGTGTTGATATTCTGTTTTCCATCTCATTCATTCTAGTGGTGAGGCTTTCCCTTGTTTCAAGTTGGCTTATTCAGTTTTTCACTTCCTTCTGCATTTCAGCCTGAGTTTTCTTCAATATTTCTCTTTTGTGAATTCATTCAGAAGTTTATCACTATCTTCTTTTAGTTCTTTGATTTAGTCGTTTGTGTGCTTTAAATTCATGGAGTTCCTTGATCCATGTTTATGATTGTACTTCTAAATTCTGAGTCCTGGGTTATCTCTAGGAGGTTCTCCTTAGATAACTCTTCTACAAGAGTGGTGGAGTTTGGTGGGGACATAGTGTTTTGGCTTTCTGTTTTATTATTTTTCATTGTGATTTTGGCATGTGAATTTCTTGTTTGTGATTCTGGTATCAAAATCAAGTCTTTTGTTGAGTTTAAGTTTGATTCTGTTTGTATTATTGGTGTGCCTTGGTTGTTTTCTTATTGGTTATGTAAAGCTAGTTGGTCTAGGTTTCAGGTTCTCTCAGATCTTATTTTGGAGGGAACTGATTGCTTCAGCTCAGCTACTCAGGGAGCTCCCACAGAAGTCCAAGTCAGGCTCCAGTCAGGTATACTCAGGCTTCCTTCTAAACATTTGGACCTCTACTAGTGGGTACTCAGAGCACAATTTGGGAAGTTCCCTAAGGGGAGGCTCTATTTTGGCACCCTCAGGTAGTCTGCTGAGTTCTCAGCCCCTACACTAGAGGGAGGCCAGAACAGGAACTCTCAGGCTGTCTGCTAAGGTCTCCACCTTGCCCTACCATAGGGCAGAGG